ACCTACATTTAGTAGTTTTCAACTTTTGATTACTCATTTATTTGTGTCCAATGTGACTCATAAATCCTTTAATCTCTAGGCAACACTTGAATTCAATCAATTTATCACAATTCACATAAAATTTCTCAATCAAAACCAAAACACAAACAGGTTCCAAACCAGGTACCCGTTTCAGGTTCTTTTCCTAGGTTCTGGTTCCAAAACTTGTAGGAACTGGAACCGCATAGTATCGGTTCCAATAAAATGAAACTGGAATCTACTCGCATAATGCCAGTTCTAAGTAGGTTTTGGTTTCGACTCTGTTACCGATTCCGGTTCCGGTTCTACTTGTAGGTTTCGGTTCTATCCACTACCCATGCTCACCCCTAAACCTGGCTAATTGATAAAAAACCACCACCATGACAACTCCATCTTCACCAACTACGATAGAACCACCACGACAACCCCATCTTCACCAACTAAGAAAAGAACCATCACCATGATAAACACCAAACCTCAATACAAACATCAAATGCGCAAAATAACCCAAACCTTCAAACAAACAAATAAATGAGATCCATCATATATCCATACTTCCTATACAAAATCTTTTAAAACCAACAAAAATCCACAATCCAAATAGCCGGGTCTTTTTTTCTTTTTCTTATCTTTGTATTAAATTTTACAAATTAAAATGTTTCTTTTTTAATTTATTTTTTTATTCTTAATGAGGAAATGACAATCATACCCTTACATTGTTTAATTTTTTTTTTGAGGACAACAATCTGAAACTGACAGGGACTATAATGAATTTTTCAGATTTCATTGGACCGAAAAGAGAAGGAAGATGAGCCAGTTGGCCCCTCCATGTGGGCGCCTATTTTCAACACGGCTTGAAAACTTACGGTCAACATTGGTGACGTAACAAAGAATTTCACTTCTGCAGTCTTTTCTTTTTCCAAAGTCAGTGAGCAGTTCAAACGCCAGTAAAACAGACCCAAAACTTCAAAGAGTCAGATTGTTTCAAGCAAGTACGATGGTCGATGGCTTCTTCTTCTTTTCCTCCTTAAGTAAAGTATGATGTTTATCTCAGTTTCAGAGGTGAGGATACTCGCGACAATTTTACCAGCCACCTCAATGCAGGTTTGTGCCGGAGAAAGATTGTAACTTTCATCGATACTGAACTTAGAAGAGGAGATGAGATTTTACCCTCTCTTTTGAATTCAATTGAAGGCTCGAAGGTTTCAATTATCATTTTATCTAAACGCTATGTTTCTTCCAAATGGTGCCTTGAAGAACCTGTAAAGATCCTCGATTGCAAGAAATTATACGGTCAGATTATGATACCAGTTTTCTGTAAGAAATTATACGGTCAGATTGTCATTGTCCTACAAGCATAGCCTGGTCTCCTGCCTACACTGCTACAAATCTCGCTGTTGGATATACGAACTTTAAACTTCCTCTGGGATGCTCAGGCGTCAATACACATAAGCTAGTGCCTTTCATGATCATGATCAATTGCTCCTTCTCCACTTTTAATGTGTTAATTTTTAACACATTTTTTATTTTTTATTTTTATATTCTGAATGCAGGTTAAACTTCAATTGATAATTAGGCTATGCTTCTTTCGTCTAGTGTTAAGCTTTGGTGACTTACTCAGATTCATGAATGACAAAATGGAATTGGTTCAGTGTGATGGCATGGGAGGTACAATGGCCATGTGATTTTTCTTATTGCTACCCTTGTTGTGATTGATTGAAAGAGATGCAAATTATCATGCAATTTAGTTTTAGTAAACACTCCATCTGGCACCACGTGGTATATAGAAGCTGACATTCTAACATGATGTCTTCTAAGCAAATCATCTCTGACATCTTTCCAATGTTGAACATATTAAGTTGTTTCATCAGTTATTGATAACGATGAACATTGAAATTTATGATGAATTTTTGCTAATTACTTTTATTGTTATGAATTTCTATACATCTAATCATTTGATGCAATGCCAAACAACACTTTTATCAGGTCCTCTTATTTACTTTCAACAATTTGTTGCTAAAGAATTTGCATTCTCCTTTTGTTTTCAAGCATTACCTCATGCGCATTTTCATTCAATTTCTCAATTTGTATCCTCCAGAATCTTTATAAGATCCAATGTACCATGTTCTGTTGCGGAATCCAAGCAAGTATGTACAAAGACCTTCAGGTACATTGTATGCATAGTTGTGGACTGGTAACTAAAAAAATTGGTAAACATAAAATAATCAATAAGAGTGTTTCTTTAAAAGTTTCTCTATAGCTGCTAACCCTTGAAGCTCTTCATTGCTTTTGCAGAGTCAATTCCTGATAATAATCAATTAATTATGGATTGATTGGTAAAAAGTTATGGGATTGTATCTAAACTGAGCATGGTGCAGCTTTTTTGGTCTTATTATGGTTCAAGTGCTCTGTTGTGCCCCTTTTCGCTAATTGAGCTTCACTTATATTCAGAGATATCTTTGTCTAGCAATAGCATGGAACATAAAAAGAACTTCTGGTTACTCCCCTGTTGTGGCTGCCAGAATTGTTTTTGGTGTTCTGAGTTTATTGATGTTGGGATAAAATTAACTCAAAAAAAAAAATATTAACAAATATTAGGTTATTTCTTTTTTAGCTTTCAAGCTTGTGAGTACAATATTGGTAAATATTCAAGAATTCATTGATGATTTGCCAAGGCATCCAGAAATAATTAATTACTTACATTGCAAGTAGACAACCTATAAATGTTGTTGACACACGAATATGAAATGAGTGTATGTGATATTATTCTCATTCTTATAGTATTTTAGATATTATTCTTTTTCATTTATTATAGAGATTGCATCATTATTATAATATTTTTTATCCTTACATATCTATCACATTTTTTTATAAATAGGCAATGTATTTAATTTAATTCATACAATTCAATATAATTAAATTGAATTCTTCTTAAATATCTCTTGGACATATATCGACCCTTTTAGTTGTCTCTCATGCCCTCTCAAAGATATCTCTTGGACATACTCCGGTTCTTTTTAATTGCCTCTCTTACCCTCTCAATTATGACAAATGTAACTATTAACAAAACTATAAAGTAATACATTTACAATTAGTTGATGTCCATAAGTTTAATATCATTGATAAAAAAAAACTAATGTAATTTAATTTTGTCGGACAAGTTTGAATTAATTAATTTATCTTTTTTTGAGTATTAAATCTCAATTGTTTCGTATTTCAATTAGAGATCCTTATGATCATTGTTGAATTTAGTTAAATCTCCTTTTATTATTTTAATTTAATTAGGAAAAGTTAGTATATATGGGTTTTATTTTATTTTCACAAATTATTCACAATTTATGAAAAACTTTAAAGGACTTATGTTACGTATTCTGACTAGGGGTGTTCAAAAGAACCGATTGGAACCGGAACCGACGGGTACCCGGGGTTTGGTTCTGGTTCCTACCTAGAACCGATCGTCAATGGGTAGGTTCCAATTCTAAATTTTTGAAACTGTCACTGTGCAGTTCCGGTTCCGGTTCTTACAGTTAGAAATCGGAACCAGAACCGGAACCGAAAACCAAGACTAATATAAAATAAAATTAAAGAGTAAGGGGGTTAATAAAAAACTTTTGTAGAAAAAGTAATGTGAATACATTTATATTTATATTTCATAACATTTAAAGTAAGTTGGATTGACTTTTGAGAATTTACCTTTACAAAGTAATAGAGTTTATAATTTTATTTTTGTTAACAAGTGCCGGCTTGGGGGGGGAATCTGGCTTAAAGGTTTTTTTTTCTATTTTAAAAACTTTTGGGGGGTAATATAATTTTACAGGGTACCCGAAACCGGAACCGTTGTTACAGGTTTCGATCTTGGTTCCAAATTTCAAGGAACCATCGGTTTCAGTTTCTTCAAAAAATGTTGGGTGCTCGGAACAGAACACCCTTAATTTTGACGTTCTCCAAGGGGTTGCATGATGGATTGATAGTTTTCTCTTATGTGATTTTATCTTTGCCAATCAACTCCATCACATAATCCTATGTTAATTATTTAATTGTTAAAAAGAAAAAAAATCAACCTATTTCCTAGAAACTTTCATAGAGAGAATAAACCCTATAGGTTCCATTGCCGTTAGTTAAAACTGTAATCTGACAACGACTAATGAACAAAATATCTTAATTACCCCTGTTATCTTAATTTGGAATGACTTCAATACCCTCCTACACCAAAGTCTCCCTACACACATTTGCCATCCACCCACAAATAATATATTTAGGGTTCATTCCATTTTCCCCTATGAGATCGCTTAGGATTACACACATCCGCTTTGTCAAGAAAGTATAAAAAAATCCCCTGTAATTATTAAAAGCCCTCATAAATAATATCAAATACCCTTTAAAAATATCACACTCCTTTAAAAAATTGTTAACAATCCTCTTATATGAGGATATTTAGCACTTTCAAAATAAAGCAGACGAATTTTAATTTTAAACAATCTCACACGAGAAAAATGAATAAACTCATATTTTATTTTGTTAATTTTATTATGGTATTTTATAATTTTTTTTTTTTTTTTTTTTTTAATGAAGAACCTGAATAACAAAGTACCATTTTATCCCTATTATCTCAAAACTAACGGAAAAATATCCGCGTTTGACTAACGGACGGGTTCTTTAGCTATTACATTGACCCAATAAATTATAAATTAGCTTCACACGACCCTTGCCGGCTTCACCTTGTTCCCACTATCTTTCGCCAACACGAAACTTGATGAATTCTCCCTCAATTTTAAATTAAAAAATCAGCATTCTCCAACGTCACAAGGAATAATCCGTTATAATTAATTTGTATATTTGTTTTTTTCCTTATTAATTAAACGAGAGGATTTTAATATTAGCTATGATAAATTTTATTCCTGGTTTACTATCTCAAAGTCTTTGAGAAGAGAGTAAACATATCCCCAAACTCCGGAGAGTCTGATAGCTTCGAGCCAGGTACAATGGCTTCTTCTTCACCTCATGTAAAGTATGATGTTTTTCTTAGTTTCAGAGGTGAGGACACTTGCGATAATTTTACCAGCCACCTCCATGCAGCCTTGTGCCGAAGAAAGATTAAAACTTTCATCGATAATGAACTTATAAGAGGAGATGAGATTTTGCCATCTCTTTTAAATGTGATTGAAAGATCAAAGATTTCAATTATCATTTTCTCTAAAGGCTATGCTTTTTCTAGATGATGTCTTGAAGAACTTGTAAAAATCCTTGAGTGCAAGAAACTGTACGGCCAAATTGTGATACCGATTTTCTATCATATAGATCCATCAGATGTAAGGAAGCAAACAAGGATTTTTGGAGATGCATTTGTTGAACACGAAGGACGATTTAGGGAGAGGCAAGAGATGTTGCCGAGATGGAGGAATGCTTTAATTGAAGCAGCCAATCTATCTGGCTTTGATTCAAATGCCAACAGGTGAATGCTTTTGCTTTGACATTATATTTTGAGTGAAGTTCTACTCTTACATGCTACTTTTACTTTTGGCTTTCTTTATTTTTATTTTTATTTGTCAAGATAATTCTTCTATATACAAATCACAATTCAACCAGAACTGGCCCTTTTAATGCAATCCATCTTAATTGTTTGAAAATCGAAATAGAGTGTGTATATAATTTTTTTTGGTCTTATTTAATAATTCTTATAAAGGATAAAATTATAATTAAAAAAAATAATAAATGGGATCTGATAAGATAATAGACGGTAGGCAACATACCCATATTTAAATTGAATTAAATTGTAATTGAAAGTTATTGTTTAATTAGCTTATTATTTATTTGTAAGCATAATTACTCATACAGTATGTCATATGATACTCAACTGTTAATCATACATCTTGTTATCACATGTTATGGTTTAATTAGTTGTACTTTTATAATAACACAACTGAACAATCTAGTTGTTGAAAAGAGGATAACCAAAAAACCAACAATTTCTTGATAAAAGTTGGATTTTTATAAGCTTTTAATGGATAAGTTCTATATGCTATAAGCTCTTTTTGCATAGCCTTAGTTAACCAAACCGCGAATGCTTATATATAGCTCCTTGATGACTCTAAAATATAGACCAATGTCTTATTAACGGCAAAGTTGTCGGGTCTTGGTTGACCGATTTCACTGGCTGGTCAAATTGGGTGTCCAAAAGTTTAAAATTTATCAAATACACCCCTATAAGTTACAGTTAAGTCCCTGCAGGTTTAAAATTTAGGAAACACACCCCAAATACAAATGGACGGTCGATTGGTTGGTGATGGCGACATACCAAATGCAATCTCAATCATCCCTTGAGCAATTTACCGAAGATCTGGTCGAAATTGGTTCGACTTCAACCAAATCTCACCATCGTCGACATTGATAACCCAAGTCAGATCTCACTACTTTCAGCATCGACAACCCTCCCTATCACCATGAAAATACTCCCCTCAGCCTCCTGACCAAAACCCATCTCACTCTACCCTCGTTCGCCTCGCCAATTGTCGGCTACTGTCGCCATGAGTTTTTTTTTTTTTTTTTTAATGTCGATCGATTCACTCATTGGAAATCACCTTCGTCGCCATCGTTGCACTCACCGGCCCTTCCTCTTCAAAACCCTCAACATCTCATCCTTCAATTGTTCGTCGATCATCATCTTAATTTCTAGAGTTTTCGGTGAATAGGGAAATTGGTTACCCGACTTGGTGAAGGCCTCGGGTCCCGGTTCAACCGGTTTAGTCGGTCGGGTCGGGCCAGGTTTTAAAACATTGAACTATAGACTTTAATTATTAAATGATGTATGTGGAAAATTTTGTATTGTACTGTTTTCAAATAAATATGATAACCTTACTACATTCTTTATATTTTTAACCAAAAAAATTATAGATTAAGCTTAAAGTTTAATTTTTAAAAACAAATTAGATTGATAAGAATAAATTAAAATTTAATTATTTACAATTAATTTGATACTTAAATAAAAATTATTTACAATCAATTTGATAAATAATAAAAATTATAGATTTAATTATTTGTAAAACAATTCAATTGTATCATGCCCAAAAAGTTTTCATTTTCAAGGATGGATAAAAGTAGGCTATTGGAATTAGACTTCGTATTCGTTTCTTTAACACTTATTCATGCTTATATATTGTTCTTTTTACTTTTGTTTCAAATGTAGGCCTGAATCGAACCTCATTGAGAAAGTTATTGAAGAGAGTTTAAAGAGATTGAATGATATGTCATCTAGTGATAATAAGAACTTGGTTGGAGTAGCAATGAAGATCCAAAAAATTAAATCTTTACTGTCTAATGGGTTGAATGAAATACGTAAGATAGGAATTTGGAGGATGAGTGATATAGGTAAGACAACCATTGCTAACGTAGTGTTCAACGAAATGTTAAGTCAATTTGAAGGTTCCTATTTCATTCAAAATGTTAGGGAAGAATCAGAGAAACGTGGACTAAGTCAATTACAGAAAGAACTTCTTGCTACAATATTAGGGGATGGACACCTCAATATAACACTCACTTTCACAAGAGAAATGCTTAGACAGAAGAAAGTTCTCATTGTTTTTGATGATGTCACACACTTAAGTCAAATAAATGAATTAATTGGACATCTTGAAAACTTGGGTTCAAGAAGTCGAATCCTTATAACAACAAGAGATAAGCAAATACTTAAAAATTGCGGATTGGATGATGCTACTATATATGAGGTCAAAGGATTACATGGTGGTGAATCTTTTCGACTTTTTAAACAATATGCCTTCAAACAAAACCATCCCATTGATGAAGATTATATGAAGCTATCAAATAGAGTAATAAGTTACACCAAAGGTGTGCCTTTAGCTCTTAAAGTCTTAGGTTCCTTTCTACTTGATAGAGGAAAACACGAATGGGAGAGTGCATTGGATAAATTAGAAAAGTTTCCATATAAAGATATCCAAACAGTTTTAAAGATAAGTTATGATGGACTAGATGATGAAGAGAAAGATATATTTCTAGATATCGCATGCTTCTTTAAAGGATGAGATGAACATCTTGTAGAAGAAATTTTGATGTTAATAGCTCCTTGGCACGTATTACAATAAGTGTTCTCATTGATAAGGCTCTCCTAACTATTTCAAGCAATACCATAACAATGCATGATTTGCTTCAAGAAATGGGTCGGGTAATTGTTCGACAAGAATCCATTAAACCTAGTGAACGTAGTCGATTGTGGCATCATAATGATGTTCATTATGTACTGAAAAAAAATACGGCAAGTACAAAAGACATTAACTTTCAATTTTTATTTTATATTAGTAGCGAAATTTAGAAAAAAAAAAAAATTATTTAGGAGATTATCATCTTAATTTATTCCTGTAAAATTAGTTCATGTGATACAAAAGACACTGGCTTTGAATTTCTATTTTATATTATGAATGGTGTGGGTAACTTATCTTGTTTCACATTTTTTTTTTTAGTTGTAGGGAACTGATATAGTACGAGGGCTATGCTTTGATATTTCAAAAGTGAGAGAGATACGCTTAGATCCTTGTGCTTTTTCAAGAATGGATAATCTAAGATTCTTAATAGTAGATAACTTAAAATGCAAAGACAACAATAATAAGGTGCATGGTTTTGAAGGCTTGGAGTTTGATTTTGCAGAGCTAAGATGCTTCTGTTGGGATGTTTACCCCTTCACATCGTTGCCATTGAAGTTTTATCCAGAGAACCTTGTAGTACTTGAGATGCGCAACAACAATCTTGAACAACTACGGACTGGTATCAAGGTATATATATGTTGATTTTGTTGGAGTTGTCGACTACTTCAGCATTAATGGGTAACGGAGACGCACTCGGAGGTCCCGCTGCCCGGTGAGCGGGCGGGTGCCCCGCTCCCCGGTGAGCGGGCGGGGGTCGCGGGGGCAGCGCCCCCTAGCCCGTAGGCGGTTTTGGGCTTTTCCATGTATAACCGCTGTAGGATTCCTTTTAAGTTATTAATTCCTTTTTGGGTTGGGCTTAGGAATAGGAATTCTTGTAAAACTAGGTTTAATCTCTTAAACCTAGTATATAAACATACTTTTCTCTTGTTATGGGTGAGAGAACAATTCATTCATTGTAAACGAGAGAAGTGAGGCATATTGCAATAATATTGACTCAGCTGGACGTAGCCTACATTGGATGAACCAGGGTAAATCGCGCGTATTACATTCTTTGTTTACTGTTTGTTTTGTTTAACGATTATTATTTTGTTCCTGTTGCTTCTCTATTTCGTTCAGATTTCATATGACAATTTTCTTCTATAAATTGAAATACGAGATTTTCTAATTTGTGTAGTTATTTTCTTTTTCTACTGCAGAATCTTGTTAATTTAAAATATATTGATCTAAGCTACTCAAAACATCTTCGTAAAGTCTCGGACCTCTCACAGTTTCCATATCTAGAGAGCTTGATTTTAGAAGACTGTACAAGTTTGTTTGAGATCACTCCTCCATCTCAGAATCTCAATAAACTTGTTAATTTGAATCTGAAAAATTGCAAAAATCTCATCAGTCTTCCAATTGGTATTCAATCAAAGTCTCTTAGAGATGTTATTCTCTCTGGCTGCTCTAATCTCAACATAGCTCCAAGCATCTCATGTAATATAGAACGACTGTGTTTGGATGGAACTGCAATAAAAGAGTTATCTTCTTCCATCGAATGTCATTCCAAACTAGTTGAATTGAATCTGAAAGACTGTTTAAGGTTTGAAAGTCTTCCAAGCAGCCTTTGTAATCTGAAATCTCTTCGACATCTTAATCTCTCTGGTTTGTCAAATCTGAAGACTGTTCCAGAGATCCCACCCAAGATAGAAGAGTTATATTTAGATAGAACAGCAATAAAAGAATTGTCTTCATCAATTGAGAATGTATCCAATCTAATTAAATTGGATCTGAGAAATTGTTCAAATCTTGAGAGTTTGCCAAATGGCATTGGTAAATTGAAGTCTCTTAATTATCTTAATATCTCCGGTTGTTCCAAACTTTGCAGATTGCCTAAAGACATAGGAAATTTGGAAAGTTTGGAAGTTCTAGAAGCTAATGGAGTGACTATAAGAGAATTACCTTCCTCTATGGTACGTTTGAAAAACCTTCATGATTTATCTTTCGAGAGATGGAAGAGTCAAGAGCCGGTGTCTTCACTATCACCTATTTTATCAGGTTTGCAATTTTTAAGGAGATTAAATTTGAATAACTGCAGTCTTACAGAGCTACCCAATAATCTTGACCAGCTGCCCTTACTCAGAGATTTAGAATTAGAAGGAAACAATTTTGAGAGCGTACCAACAAACATCATCAACCTTTCTAAGTTACGCCTCCTTAACATAAGGTTTTGTAATAAGCTTCAATCTTTGCCAAAGCTTTCACGTAATATACAAGATCTAAAGGCAGATGGTTGCAAATTGCTGAAAGCATTATCTGGTTTGACAATTCCATGTCAGGGATATTACAAAAGGACACTTAGCTTCATCAATTGTTTCAACCTAGATTGGAATGTACTTAGAAACATCCTGAAAGATTCTGTATTGAAAATGTACTCAGATAGAACTTTGTGGTTGGAAGTTATAGAGGTATCTTTCAATCTCTCTTAATCCGATATGATTTCAATTTCTTCTTTTATTGATAAATTAACCATTTTAGAAGTAACAATTCTTATAGTGGCACAGGGAGTTGGCAGTCGAGAAGGTTGTATGTGTTTCCCTGGAAGTGAAATTCCAGAGTGGTTTGACATTCAAAGTAGTGGATCTTCTATAGAACTTCCCAAAGGTTCGTTCAATCAAAAGTTTCTAGGTTGTGTCTTTTGCACCATTGTTGGATTCCCAGATTATCATCGTTTCTACAATGACATGGTAATTCGGTATGAGTTACGCCTGAAATGCAAGATGGTCACAAGACAGTTGCTAAAACAAAATTTTCGGTTCTTAAACCCAAGTATACTGAGTCAGATCACATATTCGTGGGATATAATTGCAGTACATCTGAGTTTCATGAATTCCCTTGTGATACGGAGGCCATCATCATTTTCAATAGTCCAGGCAGTGTAATAAAGAAGTGTGGGTTACATTTATTGTTCACTCAAGGGATTGAGGAACCTATGAAAAGATCCAGATTTTCTATCTTTGATGAAGATGAAGCTCACTCTAAGAGATTGAAATCTTCAAATTTCTTTGAAGGTGAATCCAGCTCAAGGTATAATTAATTCAATAAGATAATATACCTTCTTTCTCTCTATTTCTACACTATTTTCATGCTTATGACTGATTTTGGAATGAGTTTCTTCTTTTCTCAATTTTATGTTCATATAACTTAAGGAAATCTGAGTTTCATATTGAGTAATTCGAATGTGTAATTCATGATTAAGGTTATTATTAGTGATCATCATGAGCTTATCGGCAACATTAGTATATATAAATTATATCATTTAAACCCCTTTGTATACCTCTTAACTAATTCAAGTACGTTAAAATAAAATTTAAGAACAAATAAGTATGTTAAAATGTACTTCTATTGTTTCTTATTAGTAGCTGTAAAATGTACTTCTATTGTTTCTTATTAGTAGCTGTCTTTTAAAATATGATTAGCTAAGTAATTCTATAAGTAAATAGGTTCATATTTTCCTGATACGTATGAATTGCATTGATTTATTTCATATATTAATTGATTGATCATGATTTTCTATATGCTTTTCTTGTTTAACTATATTATCAATTTGGATGTGAAAAGGTCTGAGTTGCATCTAGTACCACATGAGAAAGAAGTAGTGGAAGAGTTCAATCCAAGTACAAATGAATCCAGTAGCTTTACTCTTTTGGATTTGGATGAGTTCTCTCAAGATTTTGTTGGATCAACAATGGATTTGACTGCCACAACCACCCTGCAGCCTACTGACAACGACGGGGTAGAATCTAGTACTGGAAGTGGCTGCTATTATGATGAAGATGAAGTGATCAACCATAACTGATAAATTGAAATTTTTTTGAAGGGTGAAGCCTATCTTATACTTTCGTTTTATGAATATATTGGTAAGTCCAGATCTCAATTTCTAAACCAAATCTATCTGCTTTGCTCTCAATTTCTATGTCATGTTCTTTAATCTTCAATAAGTGCAGAAGCCGAATAATATTTTCGGGTGAGAAGAGTAATATGTACTAATATAGGGATATGCTGCTTGGATTCATGCAACATTTTCTGGTGGTAACAAAACTATAATCCAAGTTCAGACAATCCTTTCTTTGTACTAGTTAATATCAACTTTTATTTGTGGTATTTTGTTTGGTTTAGGAATAATTTTGACCATTTCAATGTATATGTTTTGCCAGCAAATATTTCATAAGCAGGTGAGGAACCATGGAGTTTCTACAGGTTTAATGGATGACCCATGGATGTTGCCCAAGAGTTTCATGCTATGCTAGCTCATCAAGACAATTAAGTTTAATGAATTTTAAGTACTCCGATAGTATTGGCAACTGCTAACTCTACACGAGTAGTGGAAATTATGATTCTGAAGAAGTTCATTATTGAGGGATGTATGCCTATCAGATACCGGTAATTCAAATCAATTACTTACTTCCTTTTATCAGCACAGAGTTCCTTCTACTTTTATCAGCACAGAAAAAAAATGTATGCTAATTTTTCTATAGTTTCGATCTAATTTTTTATTCTTAATCTTTGTACTAATTGTATCGCCAATTTGATATGTTTTCCTGAAGAAATATGAACTTAAGCTCGCAACTCGCAAGGAAATCACAAGAGAATGAGCCAAAATCCTCTCCAAGGATATACCACCTTACAAATGCTCCCCATATTCATTTTACAAATCAGACTATTTACTTCTAATTATTACAAAGCAACCCAGTATACTAACATATGGGGACTATTTTGTAAGGTGACAAGTATTGGATTTTTTTTAATCTCTGCCAAATAGGGGTGCATGCGTATTTTACCAGGGTGTGATTTGAAACTTATCAAAATTGTTGTTAATTGGTTTTGGGGTGCAAACTACAATCACCGGAACATTGGGTATACAAGAAGTTTTACAATTGAAGGTGGATTAAAGAGAGAATTTGAGATGTTAGCCCATGGTTTTTGGCTCACGGTTTGGCAGCTTATTATATAATATATATAAAAAAATTTCTCTTAGTTTTACAAAGGAAAAGAAGAAATGAGATGAGAGGGAGCTGAGAGTAAGAGAAGAAAAGTGAGAGAGGGAGAGTGTTTTTTGTGTCTTCCTTTCACCATTTTCGTGTGAAGAATTGAGAGAGAGTGAAAAGCAAAATTGAGTTGGAGAGGAGAAGGCCAAGAGGTAATTGAAGGAGAGAAATTTTTTGACAAATTTTGGTAAGAGGAGCAAGGGATACAATGCATGCATTTCAATCGTATTATTTATTTATCAATTCTTTCTTTCTCTCTTTGATTAGTTCTTACTTCTTGCAACCATTTTGGATCAAATAGGTGACGAAGGCAAGAGACCCGAGCACTTGAGTTAAGAGCAAAAGGAGAAAAATAGTGAGTGGAATAGTATAGCATAAATTGCATGCTTTCAAAAATTTCATGTTCGATTTGGGTAAATCGGGTGCTGTGCTTGCTGCCTCCTGTTAGTTTTCTTTTTGGTGTGTTTGGTTTATGGGAATAATAATCTATGTACGGCGATGAGAAGTAGACACGAATTAGTAATCTAAGGTGTTCAAATGATTCGGTATAATGGAGAGTTATGGTTGGACAACATGTGTGATTTGGAGCTCATGATTTCTTAATACTTTTTTAAAAAGTATTAAAAAAGTATTAATGTTTTATAGATTTTACAATTTCAACCCTAGTTAACTTCATGATCTACAAAATAAATTATTAATTAACATTTTTTTAACTTTTATCTTCTCTTTGTTTCCTCTTATTTTCTCTCAAATTATATTTTTCCTTTTGGTTGGATATTGAAGAAAGACTACTCTTTTGGATTACTGGATTACAAGGTAAAATGATGCTCATTTTATTTTTATTTTTTTACTTAATTTTTTTTCGTTTAGCTTTCTTAATTGATGAAAGATCATGAGCTATAAGATTTTGTTGAATTTAATAAATTAGTTTGAACTTGGAAGATTAAATTACTATATTTTGATTTGGGCATTGATTTAATCTTATTCATGTTGAGGTATGAGTTAATTAATTGTTATTTTAAGTTGGGTTTGATAAATTTTGGTTAGTTATTGAGTTAATTTTGAATGGTTTAAAGAATTGATGAAACCTTAAGTTGTAGAGATTTGGGGATTATACAACGTTTTTAGAATATAAAAAATCATGAGAATAATTGTAGAATTGATAATTTGATATGTATAATTTTTAAAATTATATTTTTGTGCTTATTACTTCAGTATATATTTTATTATAAATTTATCAACTTTGATATTTTGAATTCACTGACTCAGAATTCTGGCTACGTCTTTGTATATATATATATATTGGGATCCCACATTATTATTAATTTGGGAGTGGGTTCCTATCAATATATGAATTCTTGGAGACATTTTAGTATGGTTTATATTACACGCATGTTATTTTTGGTGTTAAGAGATGGTATGGGTATTGTGTAATAAGTTGATTGTTGAAGTGGGAAAGTCTAGCCAATTGGTGGGGCTGGTTTGTTTGATTGGAAAATTAGAATAGCTCTATATTAGGTTGAAATGATGAGATTTTGTATGGAAAGATTTTGGATGTTGTTAAGGAAGTTTTCTTGACATGGTTTTGTTGAAATCTTAAATATTTGTATTATTATGGTGAATTTTTAAGTGTGATTTTTGTTTAAAAATTGAAAATCTTGATGTGTAATGTGTTATGTGCTCGGCCGGAGGTTTTGAGAGGGATTGGACATGAGATTATTTGCTGGAAATTTCATTAAACATGAATGCTTGCTGCTTGTAATTGTTAGTGTTAGGCTGGAAGTTCTCGAAAGTAGAGTATGAAATTGGTGGCTGGAAGTTTATTTTTAAGTCTGTATACTTTTTGTTTTGGATCCATTATTATTGATTGGACATTTTGGAGGTTGGTGACAATTTAAAAAGCATACATGCTTAAACTAACATTAACAACATAACTCAAGATCTTGAACATACGATTCTCACAATCCGTACAATTAGGAAGCATACCTGTCAACAATTGTTCAATATGGATCTCTTAGATAAATTGATTTCTATCTCTTGACCTTAATGTTACACAAACCTTAGATGGAGTCAGGTATTTTTTTTTTTTTTTTTTCTAAATTCTATATACATTTAAACATACATTTCTTTTTATGTGTAACCGTAATAGGTGGAGAGAGAACCAATTTATATGTATCTTCTTTAAATTTGGTACGTCCATCAAACAGTCGAATGTACAGACAAGATTTATTTGCGATTAAATCATTAATATTAATGCTCCTAAAATCGGGCTACTCAATTTTGAATAAAATCTTACATTCTTCCACTTGGCCCGATGATTAAAGACACTAAAAGTTTAATAGTATAATGGTTAAGTGCACATAGAGTAAATAAATATCTTCTACAATGTCTATCATAATTACCATTCCATAATAAACTACAAAATACAGGTTATGGCGGCTGTACACTATTTAGATTGTATACTCCCTTCCATACACCACAATACCTGCAACTTATCACAGTTGGTTCATAAGTGATATATAAATTTCATCATGGTCCACAATAATGTCTCATAGAGACTTTCCTTAACATCAACTCAACGCAAATTATGTGTACACCATTATGAGAAACAAGAAATTAATTAATGTATATCAGAAACACATTAGTGAGCTCAGCGTGTCATTAACATCATAACCACATCATCTATCACAACAACCAAGACCTATTCTATGTACATGTTCTTTAAATGTCTTGGGTGGTAAACCTTTAGTTAACAGATCTACAATCACGATCAGGGGTGATTTTTAGCATTGGGAACGACTGAAAAGTGATATAGCAAAACCCTAAGGGTGGCTGACGGCGATCGACGAGCAATCAAGGTTGGAGGTGTTGGGGTTTTTGGTAGGGAGATGCCGGTGAGGCCAGTAGAGGATTCGAGGGTGATTTTAGGCACTGAAATCCGCCGGAATAATGGAGAAAGTGTTGGAATGTGAGAGGGGGTGAGTGAAAGGAGCAGGGGGTGTTTGTAATTTTAAGGGCCAATTTTCTGCCTTTGTCGGTTAAACCGATGAAGGCCCCGGGTCTCGGTCTAACCGGTTAAACTGGTCAGGCTAGGTTGAGTTCCTAATCAGTGACTTTAGTTATGTCAATTGCAAGAATTAATGAAGGTATTCATAAGAGGTCAGCAAGTTAAATAGTTAATATTACAACTTAGATGTTAGCTGGCATCATACTGGCAAAATTAGGTGATAGAGACACTTAATAGGACTAATGGGCTATGAAAATCCGCCATTAGAAGTAGAGCCGTCAGTGGGTTGTGTCGGCCCAAGGCATGGCATGGCCTGACGTGAAAAAAACAAGACACAACAAGACATGAAAATATGTTGGTCGTGCTGTAAGCCTTAAAAAAGTCACATGGGTTGGCATGGCACAGCACGAAAAAAAAAAATTATAAGGATTTAGAAATGAATGAAAATGAAGATATATAATAATTCTTAATCGTAATTTCTAAGTTTGTATTTGTAATTTATAATTTTAACTTATAAGTAATTTCAATTAATATTTCAATGTCTCATTATTTTATTATATTTCATAGTGATATTATATATTTTTTAATTAATATAAATACAAAATGTCAGTAAATATAACATATAAAATATTTTTATAATAATTATTAAAAATAAATTAAAATTATTATAATTTATAAATATTAAAATTAAATATTTTTACAAAGCACGAGGCCGACCAATGGCACGACTTACAACACGACACGATATATAGCAAGCCGTGTCGTGCCGTGGGTCTTCAGATTTGGTGGGTTAGCATGACAAGA